GCAAGATTACTTTACCCAACAAAGCTATCATTCAGAATTGAAGGTCAGATAAAGAGCTTCACAGATAAGAAAAAGCTAAAGGAGTTCATCAGTATTATATGAAATGCTGAAAGGTAAAATAAAAAAAAGAAAAGAAAAGAAATGCTGAAAGGTATTATTTAAGAAGAGGAGGAAGAAGAAAAAGGTAAAGATAAAAATTATGAACAACAAAGTGACAACAAATACATATCTATCAACAAGTGAATCTAAAAATAAAGTGAATAGAAAATATGATGAACAGAATAAACTGATGAATAGAATAGAATCAAGGGCATAGAAAGGGAGTGAACTGACAATTCTCGGGGGGGAGTGTTGGGTGTGCGGGAAGAGACTGGACAAAAATCGTACACCTGACAGTTTGCAGCCGGGAAAGGCAGAGGGCTCCTGGAGAAAGGGGACTGTTGGAGACTGCCGGACCAGGCTCCCCTAACCGGGCAGCCTCCAATGCTGCTGAAATCTCTCCCAGAGCAGCCAGCTCAGCCACGGAGACCGCGCCATCTTGAGTGGCTGTACTTAGAAGCCTATACATCCAGAGACCCTGCAACCATGGCACCCAGGGTCCAGCTACGAATGCAGGAACACCGGATTTCAAGCAGCACGAATACATGGACTCAGACGAGCCCTGCTCCTCCTCATGGAAAGGTCAGATTTCACCTAAAGGTGCGGTTTGTAATTCAGGCTGGAGAGAGGAATGTGCGTGGGGGAAGTCTGCACCCCACAAAGTCCTTGGCCGTTGGGGCCAGAGTGATCCGCGAGTGTGAAAGGGGTTCCGCAGGGCTGCTGGCAGAAGGGAACTCTAAAAATCAGCCCATAGCTGGACTGGGTGCAAAAAGGCAGCCTCGGATTTTGCCAGTGTGCCGGCTGCTTAGTGCCAGGGGAGAGAGGACGTGTGGAAGAGACTTTGGGAGAACTGCGCACAGAGCTGGACGGTGGAGGGTTGCTAGCTCGCGCACCTACTCAGGCTCTTTTTTTTCCCCCCTTAAATCTTTGCGTTTGATTATTGAACCCAATACACAGGATCACCCAATTGGGGTCACTCACAGAGACTGCAGGGGAAAGTTGTTTTTGTGGAACCTGGGAAACAGAGCGGGGAGTAATGATCAAGGAACCAGCTCTGGGGCAGTCGACTCTCCCAAACCAGTATTAAGTGTGATAGGGAAAACAAAACCTAAATACTGGCTAGAGAGGACTTATAGCCCAGGAGGTCAATCCAGAAACACTGCCACCCAGGGGCTGAACCACAAACTGACTCTTCTGTAAACACAAATAAAGGCAGTCTGGGAAACAAAGAAATACTGCCTGTTTTAAAATCAGGACTATGGTTTACAACATGGAGGAAAAGTGAATCGCAGGGAACTTCAACACTCTCCTGAATACCTGACAGGACTAAGGCGTGCTAAACAGAAGAGTAGAGGAAGTGAAGGACCTTCACTACTACACATTTTTATTCTTTTCACCTTCTACTTAAGAAACTAAAATTTTTTTCTTTTTTCATCACATCATTTTACCTTTTTAATTACTACATTTTTATTTTTAACACGCATTATTACTACTACCATTTTACCTTTATTTTTAAAGTGCCATTTTATTTTCTCTTTATTTTATTTTGGGATGTGTTCTACATTCTATTTTCATCTTTCCTTTAGCATCATTTTACTCTATCTCAACTTTACCTTTATGCCAAAACTCTCTTCCTCACTTTTCCCCTTTTGTTGTCCTGTTTCTCTTACCCTATTCCTGCTTTAGATTTTCCCTATTCCTTATTTTTACCCCGTTAAAATTTCACCCTACTTATATATCTAATTTCCAATCCTCTGCTCTAAGTCCATATACACTTCTCTCTTGTCTTTCTTCACTATCCAAATTTTTTTCTCTCTCCGTCTTTTTGTTGTTGTTTGCTTGATTGTTGATTATATTGGGTTTTTTATGCTTGTTTGTGTGATTGTTTCGCTTTTTCTTTTAATTTTTTTATAAGTTTTTTTTCCCCCCGGTTATTTTTTGCTTCTGTTTTCCCTTGCCTCGCTTGATATTAGTTATTTGTAGTTTGCATTCATTTCCAGGGATCTGTTGCTGGAATTTGTTGGGATTAGTGGCTGTTCTATTGGAGTTTTCTCCCCATATAAATAGTTTCTTCCCCTCTTCTATTTCATTGTCTTTCCTTTCTCTCTTACTTTTTTTTTCCTTTTCCCAATTTCATTTTTGCACTCCTTTTTTTTGTTTTTCTCTTTTTTCCTTTTCTCTTCTTTCTCCCTTATCCCCTAATTCTCTTTGCTCTGGTGGTCACCTTTATTTGGGGTTATTAGTATTCAAACACTTGGAAGCTGAATAGCATGTTATTAAATATTGATTGGGTTACCAATGAGATCAAAGAAGAAATTAAAAACATCCTGGAAACTAATGACAATGAAAACACAACAATCCAAAACCTTTGGGACACAATGAAAGCAGTCCTGAGAGGGAAGTTTATAGCTCTACAGGCCTACCTCAACAAACAAGAAAAAATGGTAGTAAATCATCTAAATCTACAGCTCAAAGAATTAGAAAGAGAGCAACAAGAAAAGCCCAGAGTGAGCAGAAGGAAGGAGATAATAAAGATTAGAGCAGAAATAAATGACATAGAGACCAAAAAAACAATACAGAAAATCAATGAAACCAAGAGCTGGTTCTTTGAAAGGATAAACAAGATCGACAAACCTCTAGCCAGGCTCACCAAAAAGCAAAGAGAGAGGACCCAAATAAACCAAATCAGAAATGATAGAGGCGAAATAACAACAGACCCCACAGAAATACAAATGATTGTTAAAAAATACTATGAACAACTCTACTCCAACAAACTAGACAACCTGGAGGAAATGGACATATTTCTAGAAAAATACAACATTCCAAAACTTAATCAGGAAGAATCTAAAAATCTCAACAGGCCAATAACTATGGAAGAAATTGAAGCAGTCATCAGAAAGCTTCCAGCAAACAAAAGCCCAGGACCAGACGGCTTCACAGGGGAGTTTTACCAAACATTCAAGGAAGAACTAAAACCTATCCTCCTCAGACTACTACAAAAAATCCAAGAGGAAGGAACACTTCCAAGCTCATTCTATGAAGCCAGCATCACCCTAATACCAAAACCAGGTAAAGACAACACAATGAAAGAGAATTACAGGCCAATATCCCTCATGAACATAGATGCCAAAATCCTCAACAAAATCTTAGCAAATCGGATCCAGCAGTACATCAGAAAGATCATACACCATGACCAAGTAGGATTTATCCCAGGGATGCAAGGATGGTACAATATCCGCAAATCAATCAACGTGATACATCACATAAACAAATTGAAGGAAAAAAACCACATAGTCATATCAATTGATGCAGAAAAAGCATTTGACAAAATTCAACACCCATTTTTGATAAAAACTCTCAGCAAGGTGGGAATAGAAGGATCATACCTCAACATAATAAAAGCCATATATGACAAACCCACAGCCAACATCATACTCAATGGACAAAAACTAACACCATTTCCCCTAAAAACAGGAACAAGACAGGGATGCCCACTCTCACCACTCCTGTTCGACATAGTACTGGAAGTATTAGCCATTGCAATTAGACAAGAAGAAGAAATAAAAGGCATCCAAATTGGAAAAGAGGAAGTAAAACTGTCCTTATTTGCAGATGACATGATATTATACTTAAAAAACCCTAAAGACTCCATCAAAAAACTATTAGACTTAATAAAAGAATTCGGCAATGTAGCAGGATACAGAATTAACGCCAAGAAATCTATGGCATTTCTATACACCAATAGTGAACTTGCAGAAAGAGAGACTAAAAAAGCAATCCCATTTACCATCTCACCAAAAAAATTAAGCTACCTAGGAATAAACTTAACTAAAGAGGTAAAAGACCTCTACTCAGAAAACTACAGGACGTTGAAAAAAGAGATAGAGGAAGACATAAAGAGATGGAAGAACATACCATGTTCTTGGATTGGTAGAATCAACATCATTAAAATGTCCATACTGCCCAAAGCAATCTATAAATTCAACGCACTTCCCATTAAAATACCAATGGCCTACTTCAAAGATCTAGAACGAACTCTCCAAAAATTCATCTGGAACAAAAAACGACCCCGAATAGCTGCAGCGATCCTGAGAAAGAAGAAAGTAGGTGGGATCTCAATACCAGATATCAAGCTGTATTACAAAGCCACTGTTCTCAAAACTGCCTGGTACTGGCACAAGAACAGACATATAGATCAATGGAATAGAATAGAGAGCCCAGAAATCAGCCCCAACCAATACGCTCAATTAATATTTGACAAAGGAGGCAAGAACATACAATGGAGTCAAGACAGTCTCTTCAATAAATGGTGCTGGGAAAATTGGACAGATACATGCAAAAAAATGAAACTAGACCACCAACTTACACCATACACAAAAATAAAAATCGTACACCTATGGACAAGGACAGTGGGGGGTAAGGGCAGGGGGTGGGGTTGAAACTGGGTGGAGGGGAGCTATGGGGGGAAAAAGAGGAACAACTGTAATAATCTGAACAATAAAGATTTATTTAAAAAAACAAAATTAAAAAATAAAATAAATGAATTATTTCTGCTCTATCAATCACTGTTAGCAAGTTGTAGTCCATTCCTTAGATATCTGCAAAGTCTAGCATAATAACTCTGCCTAAAGCCAGAGGGTTCCAACCTATAACACAATGAGGAGCAATGGTGGCAAACCTACATTACTGAGACATCAGAATAAGTCATCAGAAAAAATAGAATTTTGACAATGCCAAAGATTTGGTTTTACAAATTCTTAACTGACTGCAAGATTTAATAAACTATAAGAATGAACACCATTTCTGGAAGTATCTAGATAAGAAACGGGTACAATGGCTACTTCTGGTCAGAGGAAATAGGTGAGTGGGGGATGGAGCCTAGAGGGAAACTTTTCACTAAAGGCCATTTTGCCTGTTTTTAATTTTAACCTTGGTGATTATTTCACTTAGCCAAAAAATTAAATTAGAATTTTAACAATATAAATCTAAATGTAAAAAAATATAGGTGGGTACAATGCTATTTATATAAAATTATTTAAAAATTCTATTTGTTGTAGCAAAAGTACTGATGTAATCATGGAAACAATGGCATTGAGGACAGTTATTTTGGAGAAGTGTGGGAAGGAATGGGTTAGAAGAGAAACATGTGGCAGTTTTATACATCTGCAAGGTTTTTAAAATTTCCTAAAATATAGAAAAGGTTTCGATTTGAAAATGCTGGGCAACAAGTATAGTAAGTGTTTTATCCTTTTTAGAAATGCTTGAAATATATAAAGTTTTAAAAAGTATTTAAGCACTTAGCAAAGTAGCTGGCACACAAAGCCATCTGACGATGTTACTTTCCAGCCTGTAACACTTCATGTTACCGTAATTTCTAAGACCTACTCGGCTAACTCCGCTTTGCAAGTACTGAGTGTTGCATGGATATTCATTTTGAAAGTTGAAAGGGAATACTGCTCCTGTTAGGAGAGAAAAAAGAAAACTGTTTTAAATATCTATGTTTTCAATAAATGATATACTATCACCTAAAAACTTTAATTGTCCAGGATATTCTAAGCACTGTTTTAAAATATTTTTTGATAGCTCATTTATTCAACACTATACAGTATCAGCCACTGTGTTTGACAAGGTATATAAGTGTGAAGAGTTCAGAGATAAAAGGGGCCACAGTCTATTTTAAAGCACAAGCTCATAAATGATGACAGGAAAGAATAAGTCCTATGAGATGTTACGAGAAAATGCCAAGGGAGAGCTTGGTGGGCTTTGAGACATCAAGGAAGTCTTCACAAAAGAAAGTAATTCAATCTGGGTTTTAAAGAAAAATATTTCTTTGGGGACATGAAATAGACAAGAAATTCAGAAGTATGTTGAGAAAAGCCAAAATAACTTCTGATTTACTAAACTTTACCTAATAGAACCCCACTCTTGCCTGGATCTTAAAAGGATATAATTCAATGAGGAATCAGGGCTCCCTGCCCCCCCCCCCATTGACCCCTGCAGTGGCCTTGGAAGGGTCAGTGACCCTGAATCTGCACAGGTGACAGGGTCACAGAAAGGAACTGCTGACCATGGCTGTGTTCTTCCCTGCAGGACACCATCTAGAGGTGACCCCACAGCCGCTCCTCAGCACCAGGAGCAGCAGCAGAGCTGAGCCCGGTCCGGAGACTCTCAATGACTCTGTGTCCCCTCAGTCACAGCATCTCCAAAGGGCGTGACCAAGGGCTCTTCCGGGTGGGAACCAAGGCTGGGAGAGAAAGAGGCCTGAGGGCTTGGAGCCGTCCATCTTCCCTGATTCACCTGTGAACCCTATAAAAGGGCTATGTTTTCCTTTCTCTGAGTAGCCCATTATTTAGTTGAACACGTGGACTAAAGAGAGCAGAGAATACAGACGCCGTTCTGACAACAAGTAATAAAAAGAATAAAATGGCTAATATTTCAATGTAGGACTTGAAAACCAAGTATTTTAAGAATTGTTCAAAAGATTAGTTTTATGAGTAAAAGAAAAATCTTAATTTTAGATGTATTTTGTTTGTTTGATTTCCTGATTACATTATATGTCCCAACTCAAGCACAGTCTTAAGGTGTTTGGTACTAATCTCTCTTTTTTTGCAGTTGGGTATTTTTTTTAAAGGTTAATTCTCTCTCCAGCATGACTGCACTGCAGTGATCATAATCACAGGCACAATTTACACTGAGCCATTTTGCACAGAAGCCAGTTAACCATGAAAAATACACAAAGTTGCTCTCACATCAGGTTTATTATTCCTACTTTTGTTGGTCTGGTAGACTATTAAGAATTCTTTCCTTTGGTAATACTTTTAAATTCTTCTGAGGAGATCATTGGTTTTCAGCATTTCTTTAATATTCACCATAAACAATTACTTTATGTACAATTTAGCCTTTTAAATGCTAATTAGCCACTAACCAATTAATATTTAAAGATGTGTGCCCGACATGACTCACCAGAGGGAGAAGTCAGATGACGAACAGGTCTTGCTGGTTGAAGCGATTTGCCAATCAATTTTTTTGTTTCCATTATCACCAAGACCTTGAGGTTCCATACTTTAGAAGGGAAATGCGCATTTTTATCTTTTGGACAAGATAACCCATCTGCTTCATCATCTATGCAAACAGCCGCGCCCTTCCTGTGAAGGCAGCTAGTGTGTGAGCGCGGGGGGCGAGGGGCACGAGA